GGTTGTTAACCAATGTCATAAAACAATATGTGTACTAGTGTTTCATGAGAAACTATTTGTTCTGTAAGCCTTCACCTGAAGTACAATTAAAAAAAAAAAAAAAGTACAGCCAGAATGCTGCTTAGTAACAAGGATGGCTGGACTTCATCTCACATACTTTGGACATGTTATCAGGAGGGACCAGCCCCTGCAGAAGGACATCATGCTTGGTAAGGTAGAGAGTCAGTGAAAAAGAGGAACACCCTCTTTTTGACCCAGTGGCTCCAACAATGGGCTCAAACGTAACAACGACCTTGAGGATGTCGGAGAACCAGGCAGTGTTTCGTTCTGTTGTGCGTAGGGTCACTATGAGTCGGAACTGACTCGACGGCCCCGACAACAACAACAACAACGTACACATATATGCTTACTAAGAAGTGGTGGAAGCAGCATCCAGACCTGTCTAACATCACTGGGGATGATGAAAATCACCATCAGTCCAAGGCCGATCCCTGTGAGGCAGAAGTCAGATACACCTCCACTCCGAATTTTTTACCAGTTCTGACACCAGCTGACCCTCCCATGGCACTCTCTACTTGTTTGCTGGGTTCAATAATCCCTTGCAATGGCTACACAGCACTCACAGACCATACTTACAATTAAGTGGTTTAATAGGGAACAGGGTACAAGTCGGGGTCAGGAAGCACGTAGGCAGAGTCTCCCCTCTTCAGTGCAGGACAGCTGTCCCAGCTCTTCTCAGCCGTGCAGGCCTCCTCTTGGCCAGCTGTCTGTCACTGCCAGCTGTGCTGCTGGGCCCCTTCCGGGCCTCTCACCGTCTTCAGGGTCACAGTCCTTAACCTTGTTACAGCTCTTTTAGAAGGTTCCTTGCCTCCTCTCTCTCTGCTTCTTTCTTTTCTCCTGCTTCCTCCTTCTGCTGCTTTTCCTGCTTTGCTCGGTCTCCAAAAACCTCTGTGTGGTTGGCTGCTTATATACACAACTCCTTGTCAATTTCAAGGCAGGGCTCCTCCCAGCGGGGGTGGGAGGTGGTGGTGGTGCACAAACTGACCAAACTCCTCTAGGTAGGCCACAGACATTTCATATGCATAGTAGGCTATAACTCACCTTATCTGCATAGCCTGTTGATGCAGTCCTGGCAAGGTGCATACCAATCACAGGGCAGGCTGCTGCAGCCCAAGACTGGACAAAAAGTATCAGACCGAGTTGTCTGCAGCTTACCCAGGAAATGTCAATTAGCCTGGGCAAAGTAACAGACAGGGTAGAAAACTATGGCAGCTCTAACTCCTCAGGGCTGAGGAGGGGAAATCTCTTGACACTATTTTTCCAAAGAATCAAGGCAAAAGGCCACATAAAGGAACTCGTTTCACCACACCTACATACATTCAAAAAAAAAAAAAAAAAACCTCATTGTCTTTGAGTCGATTCATATACTCAATAGACTCATAGCGTTGCGGTCAAGTCGATTCATAGACACATAACAACCCTGTGGGACAGAGTAGAACTGCCCCGTAGGGTTTCTAAGGAGCGGCTCGTGGATTCAAACTGCCAACTTTTTGGTTCGCAGCCATAGCTCTCAACCACTGAGCCACCAGAGCTCCAAATAATACTGTATACCTGCATCTGTTATTTTTTGGTTATTTTTGCTGTTGTTTCAAAATTATATTTGACGTGTTGTTGTTATGTGCTGTTGAGTCAATTCCAACTCATAGTGACACGGTAGGACACAGTAGAACTGCCCCACAGGGTTTCCAGGGAGTGGCTAGTGGATTTGAACTGCTGACCTTTTGGTTGGAAGCTGAGCTCTTAACCACTGCGCCACCAGGGCTCCATATATGCCATAGCAATTACCAAAGGGTCCTTTTTTCTTGTGTACTTTTTAATGACATCATTTACCTTCATCTAGCTGTGTACACTTCACCTGCATTCAGTGTTACCTTTCCCATCGCCAGAAATAACAAGTGTCTACTAGGTAGAGAAGGAGCCCTGGGGACACAGTGGTTCAGAGCTCGGCTGCTAACCAACAGGTTGGCAGTTCAAACCTACCATCCGCTCCGTGGAAGAAAGATGTTGACAGTCTGCTCCCATAAAGATTACAGCCTTGGAAACCCTGTGGGGCCTTTCCACTCCATCCTATAGGATTGCTATTGACTCAATGGCAACAGGTTTTATTATCTAGAGAGTGAATCTGCTTCTTCCGCCTGCCCTATCCCTGGTAGCCACTAATGAACATTAGTTTCTGTATATTTTCTTGTTCATATCCATAAAACTTAGAACATACAATATTTGTTTTTTTGTGATAGACTTATTTCGCTGAACATGTCCTCCAGGTTCATCCGCATCGTTAAGATGTTTAGGGAACTCATTTTTCTTTACCGCTGAGTAGTGTTCCGTCGTGGGTGGGTACCACGTTTTACTTACCCATTCATCTCTTGGTGGGCACGTAGCTTGTTTCCGTCTTTTTGCTGTTGTGAATAGAGCTGCAGTGAACATAGGTGTGCATATGTCTGCTTGTGTCTCTTCTGTTAGATCTCTAGGGTGTGTACCGGGGGGTGGAATTGCTGGGTCGGATGGCAGCTCTACCTCTTGTTGTTTGAGGAACTGCCAGACCGTTTTCCACAATGGCTGTACCGTTCTGCATCCCCACCAGCAATGGATGAGGGTTCCAGTTTCTCCACATCCCCTCTAGCACTTGTTATTTTCTGTGTGTGTGTGTGTACGTGTTTTTTCTTAGCCATCCTAGTGGGAGTGAAACGGTATCTCATTGTAGTTTTGATTAGCACTTCTCTGATGGCTAACGGTGTTGAGCATCTTTTCACGTGTCTGTTAGCCATCTGAATATTCTCTTTGGTGAAGTGTCCGTTTATGTCTTTTGCCCAGTTTTTGACTGGGTTATTTGTCTTTCGTCATTTAGTTGTGGAAGATTTCTGCGTATTTTAGATATTAGATCCTTGTTGGTTATGTCATTCCCAAAGATCTTTTCCCAGCCTGTAGGTTGTCTTTACTGTTTTGATATGCACCCATATTCTTAATCACTGGGCATTCATTCATTCAGCGAGCACTCACTAAGCACATTTTGTCACACCATGAGGAATATACAGCCGTAAACACAGACCCAAATCCCTGCCCTTTTGACAGTCCAGTGGGGGAGACAGGCGCCACACTGTTAAACATGCAGATGAAGTAAATCCTATAATAGGGTAGAAGGTGGAAAGTGCTCTGGGGAGAAACAGGGTGGGGGCTTTGGGTCCATGCAGGAGGAGGTGGCAGTGTTCAATGGAATGGTTAAGAACAAGTTAGTTAAGTGTTGACATTTGACTAAGGCCTTGAAGGAGGAGAAGGAGAGAATTACATGGATACTGGGGGAAGAGCATTCCAGGCAGAGGGAGTAGCCAGTACAAAGCTCGGAGGTGCGAGAGTGCCTGGGAAGTCTGAGAAGCAGTGACGAGGCCTGTGTGGACAGGACAGATAGGGAAAGGGAGGGTGGTGGGGGATGAGGTCAGGGAGGTGATGGGGGCAGATTGTGTGGGGTCTTGCCGACAGCAACGGGGAGGACTTTGACTTTCATCTTGAGTGTGGTGGAGCCACGGAGGAGTGGGCACTGAGCAGCCCTCTGGCCCTCCCCTGAGTGAGGTGGAGCCACGGAGGAGTGGGCAGGCCCTGAGCAGCCCTCTGGCCCTCCCCGGCAGCTCTTCAATCTGTTACCCCAGTACTTTGTGAATGTGCCGTCACGGCCCCTGTGGTACACTGTGGACCAGGCACCCGTGCTCATCCTGGGTGGCATTCCCAATGAGAAGTCCATCCTGCTGACAGACACCTGCTTCGAGGACTTCTCTCTCGTGGAGGTGAGTGGTACTGAGCAGGCTGGGGCCCCTCCAAGGGAACTGGGCCTTGGCCCCTAAAATAGAGTAAGGACCTGAAACTTCAGGAGGGGGCCCCCAAAACATGCCAGCCACCACAAGAGGCAGATAGCATGGAGAAAAAACAAGAATTAGCATCCAGATGACCTGGCTTCAAATTCTGGTTCTGCCACATCCTGGTTGTGTGACCTTGGGCAAGTCACTTAGCCTACCTGGGCCTCAGATTCCCTATGGGTGCAATGGGAATAATATTTACATTCACCTCATAGACTCATGGGGAGGATGATATAAACTAATATCAGCCTGACCTAGAATGAGAGCTGTGTGAATCTTAGCTGTTAATATTTATGGGTCCACCATTTGTAATTCTGCAGTCCAAAAAGCTTTGAAACATGCAAGCACTTTCACAAGTTTGGGGCCAAAATGCGTTCGTCAAGAAACCCTGACCTGAGCTAACAAAGCCTCTTTATACTCTTCATGTATCCCATTTAGTGTCAATATTCAGATGCTGCCCTGCAGAAATATCAACGAGTTTGATTATGAGGTGGTGCCCCAGACCCCACTGAGGGTTTCCATAATGTATGATGCCATATTAGCTTCTAAATCTGGAAGTTTCTGAATTCCAGTATACATCTGGCCCCAAGGGTTTCAAATTAGGTTTCAGATTAGGCATTGTGAATTTAGGTGATGATGATGATGATTTCCCAATACAAAGAGGGAGTGTCTAAATCAAGGTTCTTCTGGTTTCAGTGACAGAAACTCATTTTAGCCAGTGCAGTTGTAGGCACACCTCCAACCCAAGTTGGCTTAAGTGAAAAGGAGATGTAGTAGGTGCATCTAACTTCAGTGTCCAGGCCCAGGCAGGTTTCAGGGCTGGCTTGATCAGAGCTCAAATGAGGACTTCCACTTTCAGCTTCACTTCTGGATTAGCTCCATCTCAAGTGGGTCGTATCAACCCAACTTCCAGTCCAGAGAAAGGAGCATCTGTTTCCCAAATAGCACTTTTAAAATAATCCTGAAATTTGTGTCCTTGTCCTGATTGGTCCAGCTTGGGTTGTGTGTCCCAGACTGATGGAATGTACCAGCTGACTTCTTACAGGTCATGTATTCTATTGTAATGAGGAGGGCAGTTTAGATAAGAGTCAGAGAAAGGATGGTTCCCACCGAGTGAAATCAGGGTAGTTTTGCCACAAGAGGGAGAAGATGCTGGCTGTTAATTGTTTCCAACAATTGCAGTCACCCCAAAAGATTGCCTTAACCCTCTCTCATCAAGGTTGAAAGCCCCACCCATGAGTATATACATGTAACAAAACATCTTCCATTTCAGTATTCTTCACATGTACGATTCAGTGACATTAATTATGTTTATCGCGTTGTTCAACCATCACCATTATCTATTTCCAAATTTTTCCATCACCCTTAACAGAAGCTCAGTGTCTCCTAAGCAATGGGTCCTCCTTTTCCCCTACCTCCCTCCTGCTCCTAGGAACCACTAATAAACTTTGTGTGTGTGTGTGTGTGTGTGTGTGTGTGTGTGTGTGTGTGTGTGGTTAAAGTTTACAGAGCAAATTAGTTTTTCATTAAATAATTAATACACAAATTGTTTTGTGAAATTGGTTACCAACCATGCGATGTGTCAGCACTCTCCCCTTCTCCACCCTGGGTTCCCCATTTCCATTCGTCCACTTTTCCTGTCCCTTCCTGCCTTCTTGTCTTTGCGTTTAGTCTGGTGTGCCCACTTAGTCTCGCATACATCGTTGAACTACGAAGCACGTTCCTCACGTGTGTTAATGTTTTACAGGCCTGTCTAATCTTTGGCTGGAGCTCCGGTGGCGCAGTGTGGTTAAGCGTTCGGCTGCTAACCAAAAGATTGGCAGTACGAATCTACCAGTTGCTGCTTGAAAACTCTATGGGGCAGCTCTGCTCTGTCCCATAGGGTCACTATGAGTCAGAATCAACTCACTGGCAACGGGTTTGGCTTTTTTGTTTGTTTAATCTTTGGCTGAAGGGTGAACTTCAGGAATGACTTCAGTACTGAGTTAAAAGAGTGTCTGGAGGCCATATTCATGGGGTTTCTCTAGTCTGTCAGACCAGTAACTGGTCTTTTTTTTTTTTTTTTAACCACTAATAACGTTTTCTGTCTATTGTGCTTGTTTGCAGTAGAATTGATTCCAACTCGCGGCGACCCCATGCGTGCCGAGTAGAACTGCCCCCTGTTGTTGTTCTGGCTGAGTAGTGTCCGTCAGTTCTGGCTCACAGCAACTCCGAGTCAAAGAGTAGAACTGCTACGTATGGTATTTCAGTTATACACTTGCCTATTCTAGGTATTTCATATAAATGGGATCGTACAATGTTTGTCCTTTTGTGGTTGACTTATTTCACTCGACATAATGTTTTCAAGGTTCATCCATGTTGTAGCACGGATCAGGACTTTATTTCTCTTCATGGCGGAGTAATATTCCATTGTATGTGTATATACCACATTTTATTTATCCATTCATCTGCTGATGGACATTTAGACTGTTCCTGTCTTTTGGCTATCATGAGTAGCGCTGCAGTGAACATTGGTGTATAAGTCTCTGCGTTCCTGCTTTCAGTTCTTTTTAATGTCCACCAAGGAATAGAAATACCGGATCGTATGGTAATTCTACGTTTAACTATTGGAGGAACCGCCATACTGTTTTCTACAGCAACTGTACCGTTTACAATCCCACTAGCAATGGATGAGGGTTTATATTTCTCCACATTCTTGCCAACACCTGTTGTTTTTTAATCATAGACGTCTTAGTGGGTGGGAAGTGGTATCTCATTGTGGTTTTGATTCGCATTTCCCTACAGGGTCGCTGTGAGTCGGAATCGACTTCAAGGCAATGAGTTTGGTTTTTTTTTGATTTACTGACTAATGATGTTGAACATTTTTTTATATGGCTGTTGGCTATTTGTATTTCTTTTCTGACGAAATGTCTATTCAGGTACTTTGCCCATATTTTGATTGAGTTGTCTTTTTGTTGTTACATTGTAGGAGTTCTTTATATATTTTGTATATTAAACCCTTCTTAGATATATAGTTCCCCAAAATTTTCTCCCAACCTTTAGGTTATTTCTTTACTTTGTTGATAAAGTCCTTTGATGAACAAAAGTTTTTTTTTTTATTTTGATGAGGTCCCGTTTATCTGTTTTGTTTTATGTTGCTTATGCTTTTGATGTCATGTCTAAGAATCCATTGTTAAAAACTATACCCCGAAGAGTTACCCCTATGTTTTCTTCTAAGAGTTTTATGGTTTTAGTTCTTACATTTAGATCTTTGGCCTATTTTGAATTAGTTTTTGTATATAGTGTGAGGTATGGATAACCATCCAACCAGTTGCCATCAAGTCAGCTCTGACTCATGGTGACCACGTGTATGTCAGAATAGAACTGTGCTCCATAGGGTTTTCAATGACTGATTTTTTGGAAGTAGACAGCAAGCTTTCTTCCAAGGCACCTTTTGGTTAGAAGCCGAGTGTGTTAACTGTTCACGCTGTGATTTCTGAGAACCCTGTGTGGATTGATGTTCTCCTGGTCCCCTCTGGCTCTGAACTGCTGTTCAGTTTGTAGTTCATCTTCCTGTCCTGTGCTGGCTCTCTCCATTCTGGGCCAAGTCTATCCAGACATTGCTCAATTTTCATAAACTCTTCAGATGCAAACACATTCACAGGGAATGTGTGGTTGATGTAGGTTCTGCTGAAGAGATCTGGAGGGCAGAAGAGGGGTTTACCTCGCAGGAATGAAAACAAGTTCAGTTTGAAATTCAGGCATTTTTATCCTTCTTTTTTTTTTTTTTTTTCAGTTTATCGAGGTAAAGTTCACGTAACATAAAATTAATCACTGTAAAGTGAAGAATTCAGTGGCATTTAATACATTCACAGGGTTGTGCAACTACCAGTTTTATCTAGTTCTAAAATATATTCATCGCTCCAAAATAAAACTCCATTTATTCTTGTTCTTTAACCATAGAGATTTCTCCATGGCAACCCCATTTTGCTGTCTCCTGTCTCTTCTCTCTTCCTGTCTTTCCTCACCACTTCCTTCAAGACTGTCCCCTGGACTGTCATATCCTCACCTTATGTAGCTGTCCTCAGACTTGTGTTGGTTAGGGTTCAGGTTTTAGATGCTGTAACAAAGAGACCCCCAAAGGGAATGGCTTAAATAAACGCTGTTTCTCGTCCTCTTAACAGTGCAGAGGTAAGGAGCCCAGGTCCCTGCTATGTTCTCCCTTCACCATCCGTAGGCCTGAGACGTTGATCTCATCCGTATGATCAGAGCTGGGTTATGCCCATGTCCATGTTCCAACCAGTGGAGGGCAAGCCATTTTCTTCTAAGCACGTTTTACTTCTTCTCATATTCCATTAGTGAGAAATTAGTCACTTGGCTACATCTAACTGCAAGGGAGGCTGGGAAATATAATTTCTACCTGGGTGGCGTGTGCCCTGCTAAAACTTAGTCACCAGAGGATGTAGGGAGAATGGATTTGGGCACTCAACTAGTCATCTGCTAAAAGTGGGAAAGGAAATTTGTTAGTTCAGGCTGCTGAGAAATTCAGTACATCAGACCTGGCTTGACCCAGGATCTCAAACAACGTCACCAAGACTGAGCGGCCATCTCTCCATCTTTTGGATCTGGTTCCTCTATGTTGACTCTGTGCTCTGGGACTGAAGCCTGTAGAGGCCACACCTTCTCAGGCCCACAGCCAGTGGGAAAGATCTTCTCAGTTACCCCCCCAGCCCAGCCCCCAAATCACAAGATTCCTTCCACTTGGCTCAGGCTGTTTTCCACCCCGACTCAGTTACCGTGGCCAGGGGTACCCAATACACTGTTTACGAACCTAAATGAGTCAGAACTTTCAAACTTCACCTAAATAAGAAATCAAGCTGACTCGAAGTTTTTCTTTTCCTCATGTATGTAGGAGGGGACGGCGGTATGATGACCCTCTTCTAGCTTAACAAAGATTTCCGAGTATTTCTTCCAGAAAGTAGAGATGCCAGTTCAAATGTTATTAACAGGGCAACACGTTAAGTACGACAACGAATGATAATTACAATCCTGTTAGAGAGTACAGGTTAGTTTCACCAGATAAAGTGACAGTCTCCATGGTCTGGGTGACGTACAAGATTCCTCTTTCGAAATGGCATTTTCAGGGGCACTTTTATGGTGCTGAAGACAGAAAGTGAGAACATTCATATTCTCCTTAACTTGCTGAAATTTCTCTCAGCAACAGAGCCTAGGGTTTTGCTTGGTTTTATACTTTTCATTGGGAAGTTTAATAGAAAATTCCACTTTTTAATAGGAAATTTCAATCAGACACAGAAGTAGAGTGAATAGTACTATGAGCCCTCGTGTGTCTGTTACACAGCTTCAATGATTAACAACATTTTGTCTTGTTTTCTTTGCCCCCTCCCCACTTTTTTTTATGGAGTATTCTAAAGAAAGTCCCAGCCATCATCACCATCTGACCCGTGAATTCTTGAAATACTTGAGGAAGTATGTCTGACACATGAGGCCTTTTGAAAACTAAAACCACAATGCCATTATAATACCCAGCAAAATTAGCAATAATCTCCTAATACCGTCTAACACCAGGCCGTATTCAGGTTTCCCTGGTTATCCAAAAATGTCTTCAAGTTGGCTTGTTTGAATCAGAATCCACACATTGCGTTTGGTTACGTCTTCTAGGACTCCTCTAACCTATAAGTCAACTTTTCTTTTTAAGGCAATTTGTGTAAGAAACCAGGCTTTTCATCACTAGAATTTGGCTGCTTGCTTCTTTGTAGGGTTGATGACCTTGTTCCTCTGACCTTATATTGCCTATAAAGTGACAGTGAGCGTTACAAACTTGGTTAAATTTCGATTAAATCTTTTAGGTGCTTTCCCACGGTTAGGGATTTGTTAGTGATTGGTCAGTGGGTTCTGGTAGTGTCGACTGACAGCTACTTGTGTTCAAGGGACAATAAGATTGTTAAAAATTTGGGCCAAGCGTGGGATGTTTTGTGTCCACGTGGGGACAGCCGGAACTGTGGCCAGGGGAACGGGGACTGCTGAGCACCATTGAACACGTGCACTGCTCAGCTCCAGGGGACAGGCAGAGTCCCAGCTGGCTTGGGCCTGGGTCATGCACTTCACTGGTCCACGCTGGGGAAGGCTGACCACAAGGCACTGCTGCAGGGCGAGCAGGGAGGTACCTGGGTGCAGTCACACGTGTCCATCCCAAGCCATTGCCAGAGTGTAGCCTCCCTGCAGGGCAGGACATGGGGCTGAGTCCAAGGCCCCCCGCTCACCGCCAGCCTCTACTCGTTTGCAGCTGAACATTGACAGTTGCTGGGTAGGTTCCTTCTACTGCCCCCAGGCCAGCTTTTCAGCCACCATCCATGACGCCATCGCCACCGAGAGTACCCTCTTCATTCGAGAGAACCAGCTCGTCTACTATTTCACAGGCACCTATTCCATACTCCAGGAGAGCACCAGCAGCGGTGAGGGTCAGGGCCAGGTCACCTCGTGGGGTCCTTGGCATCTCAGGCGAGGGGGGCTGCTGTGGGGGCCCCACGGAGGCTGCCTTAGTGAACCCCCCCCACTGGATGCACCTGCAGCTGCCATGGGCGGGGGGTGTCCGAGAGGGCTTTCAAGGTCCTGAATCGTCACTGCTCACCCTGCATGGGTCTTCTTCTGCCCTGGGTGTGCTGGGAGGGGCTTTCACAGCACCCACCCCGGGGCTGTAAGCCAGCGGAGAGGAGGGGCGTGGGAGCCAGGGAGAGAGCTGAGAGAGACGGAGACTCACAGAGACAGTGTCAGAAAGAAACAGGAGAGACAAATTCAGAGAGAGACTGACTGTTGGAGAGGCAGAGCCACAGAGGAAATTGATCAGGGAGGAACAAGAGAGACTTGGAGCTTCAGTTTTTAAAACAATGCCAAAGCCGTCCTAGTTCTTTTAGCATGTTTTCCTCTAACTAAATGAGAGGTCAAGTTTCGGAGTTGCGGAAAATCATACTAGAACTTACATTGCCTCAGTTGGTACACGTTCCCGCCAGCTTCATTTCTCTTCCTGTCTTTCTTAGGGCACTCTGACAGCGGGAGGAACCCAACTAAAATGGGCTTACGCCAAATGTTTATTGGCTTAGTTGAAAAGCTCAGGAGCAAGTTGGCTTCAGGCACAGTTGGATCCAGGGGCCCACTGTCACTGTCAGGCAGGCCCCTCCCTGTGGTGGCTGTTAGTGGTTGCAAGCTGCGACTGTCTCTGATTTGCCCAGCATGGTCACATGTTCAGCCCAGAGCCAATTGCTCTGGCCAGGGGAACAGGAAAGTGAGATCAGTCCAGTGTGAACCTCATGGACCGAGCGTGAGTGAGGGGGATTTCCTCAAAGGCAGCTAGCGCCCCCACACTAAACAGGTGCTTCAGCTCCAGGGGGCCAATGACAGGCTCCCTAAGGCCAGGGAGATGTGGGGGTGGGGTGGGCCCAGGGCCTAGGTTGCATTCGCTGGGCCTGAGGCCCTGTGCTGGCCCCCACAGGCAGTTGGGTTCGTGTCCTGGCCAACGAGTGCATCAAGAGGCTGTGCCCCGTGGAGTTACACAGCAATGGCTCCGAGTATGTGATGGCCCTCACCACTGGCAAGAACGAGGGTTATGTCCACTTTGGGACCATTACAGGTGAGCATGGGGCCTCTGGCAGCCCAGGAGACCCCTCTATGCCCTCTCACCCCCAAGACTTCTGACCTTACGTCCACACCCTTCACCAAGGGCCCTCAGGAGGGGTCCCAGGCTGGAGATTGTTCCTGTGGGGGGAGGTGGATTTATGCATTTGTTGGGGTAGAGATTGGCAGTGTGTTACAACTCTGTCATGCTGTGTGTGGTTTCACAGGGCAGAACCCATTCAAAAATCATTTAAGTACAAAGAGTTTGTGGACTTAATGAACAGACCAGGGTCCAGCTTGCACATGGCTGAGTCTAGGGGCTCACAGTGCATGTCATCAGGACTTGTCTCTCTTAGCAAGGTAGCATAGCTGAGTGATTGTCGCATGGATGCTAGAGCCAGACTGTGCCCACGTGCCGTAACGTGTGACTTTGGACGGGTGATTGAGTTCTCTGGCCTCAACTTCCTCAGCTGCAAAATGGGGTAAATGATAGTACCTACTTCATAGGGTTGATGTAAAGATCAAATATAAGTTGGTACAGGTAGTCCCTGACTTACGACGGGGTTCTGTTCCCACCACTCTGTTGTCAGTCAGTTCGGACGTAAGTTGAATACGTCTTTGTTTTTAAGTTTTCATGCTGCTTTATGGCAGTGTTCTAAGAGTAAATCGTAACAGTGAACATCTGAGAATGATAACATCGGCAAATTATGGAGTGCAACACTGTATGTCGTACATATTACTAACGATAAGATGTACAAAAGAGGGTGGTAAGTGGGGCTCTTTGTAGTTCCAATACGTCGGAAGTCAGGAACTAGCTGTATATTGCAAAGGCCTTGGAACGATGCTAGGGACGCGGTAAGTGCTGTAAAGGCTTATTAACCCGATGCTGTGGCTTTACTTTTAAGCAGGTCTTCCTTTCATGGGGGTTAAAGATGGCCCCCAGGAGCTCGGGACTCACATCACCCCACCAGTTGGAATCACCCCAAGAGATGAGAGCAGCCTCTTCCCTATTAGTCCCAGCACAAGTCCCAGGGTGCACTCTGATCGGCCCACTCTGGGTCACATGCTCAGACCTGAGCCAATTGCCGTGACAGAGACAGATGTACCTCTGATAGGCCAGGTGTGGGTGACTGAAAGGCCAGGGGGTGAGATCAGACCCCTGGAATCGCTAGGGCTGAGGCGGTGGGGAAGCACGCGGGTTGAGCCGAGAAAAATCGGGGAGTTGGTGGGAGTAGAGGCTGCGGAGCGGGCCGGCTGGAACGGGATAGGGGTAGCCGGAGCACGGACCCCACCCTGCTCCGCAGACGGCCGCGTGTCCTTTGAGATGCTGCCCAAGCAGTGGTCCGTGTGCAGTGGGATACAAGGTACTCACCTCCCGGATGTGTGTGCACCAGGCGGGTGGAGGGATGCAGGGTATGGGCGAGCGGGGAGGGCTGGGGCCCGGGGAAAGCACAGCTGTTGTCTCGGGGAGGGGTGGGGAGTTCCGGGGAGAGGCGTGGCAGTCACCGAGAGAGTAGAGGTGTTGGGGAGGAGTCCAGGGCCTGCTCTGGACCGCCCCCTTCCTGCCCCAGTTGACAACTGCTCCATCATCTGGGCCGTATTCAGCGGGGCCACCAACGATCTGCTGCTGCTGGTGGACAGAAGAGACCCCGCTGCCAGAAAGCATTACCTGGTGGTCGGCTACAACCTGGGTAATCGCGGCGCGGTGGGGACAGACTGCGAAGGGGCAGGCTGCCGGGTTGTGGACTGGATGCCCACAGGGATCTGGGGTGCCCAGCAGGCAGTGGGAAGGCAATATTGCTTAGGGTACCCCTAGGCAAGGGGTAGTGGGGGAGAACAGGGTGTAGGCTTGGTGGACTGGAGGTCAGCATGGGTGGAAGGGAGCCGGAAAGGGGAGAGAGACTGGGGAGGTGAGCAGGAGCCACCCACAGGGCGTCCCTTGGGCTCACAGTGAAGATACTGGATTTTATTTTATGGGCAACAAGAGTAGGGCCACTATGTACAATTGTACAGGCTGTGTACTGCGCAAAAGAGTCCTCCTGCCAGGACGCAAGTCGCTGTCCTACCAGGACCGCATCGCTCAGAGGCGGTGCCGTTTATAATTTGTAGTTTACATTTGACACAAAGCAGCAGGCCCAAGTAGGAGGGGCTTGGAGGGCCTTGTGGGGGTGGGGGTGGGAAGCTGTGACTTGCTCTAGCTGCGGGATCTTGAGACCTCAGTCAGGAGACTGTCCTGTGCTTTCTCTACCTCAGTCACAGAAGAGCTGTCCATCCTCTATGAGATCCCCGAATTCATCCCTGACGGTAGGAGAGGAGGCAGAGGTGGCCTTAGAGGTGGGCAGGGGCCAGGCCGGGCCCAGGTGACCCCACCTCATTGCTGTGTCCCTTCTGCCCTGGCCAGCTCAAGGCCTGGAATTCCTGATGCTCCAAAGGGCAGAGCCTTACACCACCACCCCAATGGTACCTAGGGGCATGTTCTACAATCCATACAACAACCTGCTGTTCATCTGGGGCAACTTCCTCCTGCAGAGGTGTGGCCCCACCCCACCCTGCCCCGCGGAGGCCAGCCAGGCCTACTCTGCATCCTCAGCCCCACGAGGGGTAGAGGAAGAGTAGGAAGGGAACGGTCACCCTTTCTGAAGTCACCAAACCTTGAGAGTATGCCCCAGTGCAGGCATCATCAGGACTGTGATGGGAAGGCCTGGGCCGGTGTGGTCAGGGCTGGGATGAGAGGAGCCCACATTGTAAAGCTGCGGGAGCCCTTTCTTAAAGGAAACCTTATGGAAGGAGCCAACCTGCATGACAAATAAGAGGGCATTGTCTCTGGGAAATGTTGGGGCCCTTCACACCCAGCCACCCTTTCACCCCGGGGGCCCCTAAGCCACCTCCATGGACTGTTGGCCCGCGGCTCCTCTTTACACACGGGGAGATGGAGAGTCTCAGGTGGCAGTGGACCACTGAGTGGGCTGGGGGGAGGCGCAGCTAGGGGCCCAGCTCCCTCTGCACCTTCTCACAGGCTGTAGGAGAAACTGAGGGACCAGTTCCTGCGTCATGTTAGGCTGGGAGGTGAGGGGGAGGCAGACGTCCTACAGGGGACTCGCCTGGGTGCCCCTAGCTCCCCATCACTGCCCCTGCAGCTATGACCGTGAAACCTACATCTACCTGGCGGACTTTCCGAAAGAGTCAACCATCAAGTACCTGGTCAACTCCTTCCGTGGGGACCTGGCTATTGTCACAGAGACTGAGGAGGTGGGCTGCCTTGCCCCTCTCCCTACTCCTTTCCTGCCCACACCTGAGCCCCAGAGGCCTCCGTTCTCCCCTGTCCAGGTGAAGGAGCCCAGGGAGGGAACACTCACGGACCCTGAGGAAGGGCAGCAAAAGTTCTGTTTATAGCAGAGGACCCTGAACTCAGAGAGGACAAGCGTCTTGTCTAAAGTCATACAGCCAAGTGAAAGGCCTGTGCTCAGAGCCATGGTCTGATTTCCACAGTAGGCTTGCTTTCATTGCATCTTGCGACTATTCACGTCACAAATGCTGAGCCCTCACTGAATGCCTGCCCCCCTGCTGGGTCACAGCGGTTACTAAGTCAGCCCTGGGCCCTGCCCTCACGGGGCTCATAGTCCACTTGGGAAGACAGACCCATCCCCAGGCAGTAATAGTTCACAGTGATCAGAGCCAGGACAGGGGAGACGGGGGTCAGGGCTGGATGAGGGAGACACAGCGGGGTCAGGCTGGGATGGGGGAGACACGGGTGTCAGGCTGGGACGGGGGAGACACGGGGGGGTCAGGCCGGGACAGGGGAGACACGGGGGGGTCAGTCCGGGACAGGGGAGACACGGGGGTCAGGGCCGGGACGGGGGAGACACGGGGGTCTGGCCAGGACCGGGGAGACAC